GTTAGCGGTCTCGACGATCTTTACGCATCGGCGATTTTGCCCACTTTGAGCCCTATTTTCAGCCAATTCCAGTGTACTATTCGACAAAAATCATAACTATTTCGCTAGAACTCCACTTTTTCTATCGAATGAGTGCAAGAAACCACCCATTTACCGATTTCAACTATCCAATACAGTGGTCAGAATTTAGCAATTTTGCCAATTTCACCCAAATTTCAAAAGATGTCAATTTCCAAATAGGGTCCAGAATTAACAAGAAAGACATTCCTGGCACTAAAATGGCATATCCTCTGTTCATTAGTCACCTTCCAACTCCACTCTTACATTCTTTTGCTTTCCACCACGAATTTTTATTCTCACAAAAAATAGAAGATTTACTGTTATGCAGACTACTGCATTAGTGTAAAAAAGGTATAAATAATATCAGCGCACTTGTGAAAGAATATTAGACTCACCAGTTGACGTGTATTGGACGCTTAGCATCATTTTTTTACTTTTGAACTTTGGTAAAAGTCGAACTTTTCTGCTACTTTGAGCTCAATTTCAAGGTACTTTTTATTGCAAAATCAGTCAAAATCATCTCAATTTCTGTAACATGTATTCCATTCTATAGAATGAGACCAAGAAAACTAGAATACAACAATAAATACCATTCGTAAATACAGTGCAAAGTCGCTGTTTTATTCCAAAAAAACGGTCAAAGTTTTTTTTTTCTCATTATGCACTGTGTGCTGCAGGATTTTTTTTATACTGTGCACACTGACCACATAGACCCATTCTTTCATATGCAGGCATACCAGCTTTCTCTCACTAGATTTGAGGGTGCTAGAATTTAGGCGTACTAGTACATCAAAAACCTTGGTGCATAAGCCGTACTAGTACGGCCAAAACCCTGAAAGGGTTAAACACTTGCTTTCGTCTTACAGTATCAGTGGACAAAGTTTTCCCACAGGCAAATAAAATACAAGTTGAATGTAAAATATGCACATAGCACTTACCATAACCACAACAAAAATGTGTTACTTAACCTTTCTCTCACCTTAGGAGAAAAACAACCTGTATACTAATATGAAAACAACACTTCCACTGACACCACCTTGGTAAATCTTCTACCAGAAACATGCAACTGTTATTACCCCATACCAGTACATATAGTTCAAAGAATGTTTTGAGTTATTTAACAGTCAAATAACTCTCCCAGTCAAGCTCCCATGTTATGTTGTTGTCCCTTATTACTTTGATAGTAAGGTTCTCACTACATGTCCTAGTGTGGGGTAGCTTTTTACTTAAAAGCCTTATCAGTCTAGGGTAATACTTACATTAATGATTGATCATCCTCAGGGTCTCTGAAATGCTTTCACCAGCCCTCTTCACAGGTTATTTAAACTACTTCTATAAAAAATCTACCTGTATTCTAAATAGATATGTACAGAATATACAATATACAAAACATAAGTCTACACACTCCTTAGCTGCTCTCAAATATGGTGCATCTCAGCAATTTGCCCTTTTCTCTTCTTGAATAATCTCTGGCCAAACCAGTGTTTTGACACACTTTAGTCACCCTGGGTATGGTGGCCACAACTTAAGTTATAAAACTCACCCCTGGGGCACACATAATGCCCCAAATAATAGAAAGAAGGACCCAGAGGTTCTACCAGCTTCAAGTCAACAAAAAAGAGAGAGAGGAAGAGGGAGGACTATTGCCAAGCACAATTCTCTAGTTACCACAACTCTACCACACCTTAATTTAATTCTACAAAAAGAAATACAACTTTATAAACTACTTATTTAAACTGTGTGTGTGTGTGTCTATATATTGAGTGTCTATTATATTGAGAAAAACAGGCCTGACTCAGTTGCCTTACAGCCATAAGAGTGATCTGCCCTTATGACATTTAGAGCTGAGTCCAATATAAGTAGGTATTCCAGAGTAACTGTTATTTATAAATACATGTTGGGTCCTATAGCCCCTTAACACACGCACACACATGCCTGCTGGATGTCTGATACAAGCACATCTGTTTCCGTTAAGATGCACAAGAGTGGAATTCATTTCATTGGTGGCATGCATTTCTGTTAACTCTTGACTGTCGCAACCCCAAATCCTGAGGTGTCTCCTAGTGTCGCAAAATTTTTGAAAAAAAAAAAAAAAAAAATCTTATGAAATGATAGAGAATCTTTTCCTGATGGTAATGACACCAAAAGTACGAAATTTAATGGAAAACTTATGGAATTACGCTCTCACGAAGTTAGTGACCTCGGCGATATTTACGAATCTGCGATTTCACCCACTTTGAGCCCTATTTTTAGCTAATTCCATTGTTCCAGTCGACCAAACTAATAACTATTTCTTTAGAACTCCACTTGTTCTATCAATTGAGTACAAGAAACTTCCCATTTACCGATTTCATCTACCCAATAAAGTGGTCAGAAATTGGCAATTTGGCCAATTTCACGCAAATTAAAAATATGCCAATTTCAAAATAGGGTCCAGAATGAACAATGCAGACATTCCTGGCTCTAAAATGACATTTTCTTTGTTTATCAGTCACATCTCCAGGCCCCTCTGATATTACTCTTGCTTTCTATTTTGAATTTTTATTCAAACAAAAAATAGAAGATTTACTGTTATGCAGACTACTGCAATATTGTAATACTTGTATAAATAATATCAACCCATTCATGACTGTATATTAGAATGGCTAGTTGGACATTTATTGGACAATAACATCATTTGTTTACTCTTGAACATCGGCAAAAATCAAACATTTCCCCTATTTTGAGCTCCATTTTAAGGTTCTTTTCATTGTAAAACCAATCAAAGTCACCACTATTTGTATAATGTGTTTTCCATTCTATCAAATGTGACTACGAAAACGAGAATATAACCATAAAAACTATACAAAAATACACCTCAAAGTCGGCATTTTAATCCAAAAACACGGTCAGAGTTTTTCTTTCTCATCATGCACTGCGTGCTGCAGGATTTTTTTATATGATGCACACTGACCATACAGAACCATTTTTTCACATGTGGGCCTACCAGCTTTCTCCTGCTTGATTTAAAGCCAATAGAATTTTTGAGTATATATACGTCAAACACATTGGCTTGTAAGACGTATATATATGACCGAAACAGTCAAAGGGTTAAGAAACACTGTGACAGGCATGTCTGAGACCTCCCCACTACACATTAGCCAGTTCCATTGTCTTATCCCTGCAGGGGAGAGTGCGAGAGAGGTGAAGGGATGTAAACAAACCAGCCTCCCATGCAGGTCAATGTATGTAGATGCGTACTGTACATTTTTAACTCAGTGCACATCACTCAGTTTTTCCATATTTTCAACGCCCCATCTCATCTCTTGATATTTCATGGCTTCCACACAAAATGCAGATGGCATTGGTGAGGCAAGGTAAGAGATTTAAGTATGAAATTATGCCATTTACAAAAAAAACTGGAGGTAATTAATATGATGAAGGGTGGTGCCTGTGTCATGGAGACATCACAAGTGTTTGATGTTAGAGAATCAACTATTTGGTCAATCTGAGACAATAAGGCAGATAATGGCTTGTGCAATGAGTAATTCTCAGTGTGACAGCCACTCTCTCCACTCCAACATGTTAAGCATCCTGAACCCAACTGGAAGGTAAGTAACCAATAATGTACAGTATTAATTTAACCATTTTTTATCTAGTGTATTTTCTTTTCTCCTTGAACCTTACTAGAGTTCAGATGTTTCACAAAGCATCATCATTGACAATGTGAGGAAAGAAAAACTATTATTTTTTGACATTAAAAATTTGTTATAGCTCTCTCAGAGGTTTGAAGAATGCAACCCTATTTTTCCTATAATTTTTTCAGTCCATAAGTCATGGAAATCATCAGTAGTGCAGTTTTCAGGAGCATAACACATGCCAATTATGTTCAATGTGATGAATTGGTTTGAAAACCGACAAGTTGAAGATTTAAGATACTTATTCAGCATATGCATAAGTGTCCCAATTCTCCAATTATGATCGTCTATTGTTACATATTGATTATATGATATAGTGTAATAATTTAAAATAAAGTCCTTCACTGCTCCTCCAAATGGTTTAGCAAACTATGAATTGGTTAACAGAGGGTGGTATCAATGATGCAGGTGGCAACACTGACACAAAGTCAGAATATACATTTTATTAATGCATTTTTTCACTTGGTGACCAAGTTTTTCAAGTCTAAAGAATACCAAGAAAACATGTAAATGTGGAGATGAAGTGAGGATTGTAGGAGAGATGATGGTGACCTGAGCATGTGAACACTTGTAAAGGTCAAGTTGAAGAGTTTTGCTGGGCTAGAGGGATTTGGGAAGCTTAAAATTCCTTTATCCGTGTATCTGTATGATAATGGCCTCCTTTCTGACTGCTGGAACACAGTTCTATAAACTTACAGGCAATTTTCAGACAAACTTAAGCAGTGATAAAAATGTTGTTCCTGTCTGGGGAGTATGCTTGCTAATTCCCTGGTTGTGTAGAAAGTGTCCCTGGGAACTAAGGTTGGCTAGTGGCCCAGACTGCTGAAACTTTCCCTGGAATTGTGTGACAGTATTCTTGGTATAGAATGAAGTTTATCACTGAGTTATGACTGTTTCTCTAATGGCTGTGGGAGCACAGTGTCAAGTACAATGCTGAACATTAACCTCCAATGAACATTTTCTGTTGGTAACTGCAATGCTCACCTGTATTCCACTCCATGATGTTCAGGAGATTACTTTTTAATATTCTTGCTGTGTAGATAGGGGAGCAGTGTGGCAGATATTGCAGATATCTGGAAAAGGTAGTATGCTGTTGAAGTTAGTAATGAATTTTTATGAAGAAAGTGAAGCTTAAGTTAGGGTATGTGATGGTATACAATTTAATAAGTAAAGGATGAAAATGATTGTGCATGTACCAAAAGCATAATTATAAAGGAAAGCATGTTTTCATTATACTCGTGCCTAATTTATTTTTTCCCTCAGATACTAAGGGTAAGCGGTAACGTCGTTGTTATTCCAACCTCAGCCTCTGCAGTCCTCTTGCTGGATGTTTTCACCAATACTAATGATGTTCTCAGAGTTGACATGGAGCTGCTTCAGGAGCATGGCAATTATGAACTGATTGCCAACCTGTCAGTGAGTATGTTTGTTTGCAGCTAGAAAATGTATGCAAATTAAAATGATACAAGTAGATAAAAATATATCTTCTAGGTAGTAGGTTGGTAGACAGCAACCGCCCACAGAAGTACTACTGTCCTGCCAAGTGAGTGTAAAATGGAAACCTGTAATTGTTTTACATGGTGGTAGGATTGTTGGTGTCTTTTTTTCTGTCTCATAAACATGCAAGGCTTCAGGTGTGTCTTACTACTTCTGCTTACACTTAGGTCACACTACACATGCATGTACGAGCATATAAATGCACTGGAAAACGTAGAAAGGAGGATGACAAAGTTGATCTCATGTATCAGAAATCTTCCCTATGAGGATAGACTGAGGGCCTTCAGTCTGCACCCTCTAGAAAGGTGTAGAATTAGGACAGGATATGACTGAAGTGTACAAATGGAAAACAGGAATAAATAACAAGAATGTAAATAACGTGCTAAAAATATCTAGCCAAGACAGGGCTCGCAACAATGGTTGTAAGTTGGAAAAATTCACATTCAGGAAGGATATAGGAAAGCACTGGTTTGGTAATAGAGTTGTGGATGAGTGCATCAAACTCATGAATACTGTTATAGAAGCTAAGATGATGAGTAATTTTAAAATAGGTTGAATAGTGTGTGTGGGTGGGTGTGAGATGGACCTGACTACCTTCTGCTAATGGGTCTGATTCCATGCTTCTTCCTTAACTGGATGTGACCTAACATGACAAGGTGGGTCATTGGTTTAAGCCGGGAGGTGACTTCGGCCTGCCTCAGATGGGCCAGTAGGCCTGCTGCAATGTTCCTTCTTTAGGTTCTCATATACATATACATATATATCTTTCTTTCTTTCAACACACCGGCCGTATCCCACCGAGGCGGGGTGGCCCAAAAGGAAAAACAAAAGTTTCTCCTTTTACATTTAGTAATATATACAGGAGAAAGGGTTACTAGCCCCTTGCTCCCGGCATTTCAGTCGCCTCTTACAACACGCATGGCTTACGGAGGAAGAATTCTGTTCCACTTCCCCATGGAGATAAGAGGAAATAAACAGGAACAAGAACTAGAAAGAAAATAGAAGAAAACCCAGAGGGGTATGTATATATATGCTTGTACATGTATGTGTAGTGTGACCTAAGTGTAAGTAGAAGTAGCAAGATGTACCTGAAATTCTGCATGTTTATGAGACAGAAAAAAGGACACCATCAATCCTACCATCATGTAAAACAATTACAGGCTTTCGTTTTACACTCACTTGGCAGGATGGTAGTACCTCCCTGGGTGGTTGCTGTCTACCAACCTACTACCTATATACATACATATATATACTTTTTTTTTTCTCAACAAGTCGGCTCGGTGGGAGACGGCCAACTTGTTGAAATAAATATATATATATATATATATATATATATATATATATATATATATATATATATATATATATATTTCTACTTACACTTAGGTACCATACACATACATGTACACATTTATTTATACACACTCACCTGAGTTTTCTTTGATTTTATCTTAATAGTTCTTGGTCTTTATTAATTTTCCTTTTATATATCCATGGGGAAGTGGAATAAGAATCTTTCCTCCGTAAGCCATGCGTGTTGTAAAAGTCAACTAAAATGCCGGGAACAATGGGCTAGTAACCCCTTTTCCTGTAAAGATTACTAAAAAAGAATAAGAAGAAGAAAATTGTCAAAGTGGGAAGTCTGAATGTGCGTGGATGTTGTGCAGATGATAAGAAAGAGATGATTGTGGATGTTATGAATGAGAAGAAGCTGGATGTCCTGGCTTAAGTGAAACAAAGCTGAAGGGGGTGGGAGAGTTTCAGTGGGGG